GATACTTTTTAATTTATTTTTAAAAAATTACTAATTTAATTGTTGATTCAAACATTGTATACGTAAAGATTTCCAACATGATACAATTTTTAATATTGCAATTTAAATTTATAGATACTTATGTCTCTTGTATCTTTTTTAATACAGGTGTAATTGAATTTCTTACATCCGGTCGAGTAGCGGCTGATCACCGTGATTTTAAAGACTTAGCTTATAAATCCTGCTTACAAAAAATCTCTGGTTGCGACAAACCTAATGAATTTACTCATTCTTTTAAACTTGCATCTGCCTATAGTGAAGATATCATGCCCTACACTAATTATACGTAAGCTTTATTTATATTTTATATTAATATTCTACTGTTTTATGCCAAATAAAAAGTAAGGACCGTTTCTCCTGTTCTTTTTTACAGATTCGATTTCAAAGGTATAATAGATTACATTTTCTACTCAAAACAAAGTATGGTACCACTAGGACTTTTGGGACCTCTAAGCACAGATTGGTTTAGAGAACATAAAGTAGTTGGTTGTCCACATCCTCATATTCCATCTGGTAAGATTCTAGAAGGAAAACCTGTAAATTTTGTGATATTTTATCTATGAAAAGCTTGACCATTTTTTTTTTTTTTTTCATAAAACATTTGATTTTATATGTGTTCTATAATTGCTTATAACGAATTAAATATGAATAAACTTTTCATTCCAGATCATTTTCCTCTACTAGTGGAGCTTGAAATGACTCCAACAGTAGGAACAAGTAATGGATTGATCTCACGCAGGTAGCAGCCGCTGCGATCTAGGCCCAAGTAATTATAAGGGAATAATAAAAGATAATAAAAATGAAATCCCCATCACATCTTCTCTTACTTCTGGCTCTAACAATATCACTCGCAGTCGACAATTACTTCAATAGCGAATGTTACAAATACTCCATATTACCGCACATTCGACAAGTTATCAGATATTGATGAATAATTCTAATGACCAGGTGAAAGGAGGTGTGTTGTAATGCGTTTAGCCCATGTATAGTGTATTGCATTTTTAAGGATTAACTTTCCCATATTAAGAGTATTTTAACCTCTACTATCATTATAATGTGTAGATACCTATTTTCCTACAAAAAGATATTCTGATTAAGCCTCTGTGATATTCACATTAACAATTGGAACAACTTCACATATTTATTAACAAATTAGTATCTACTAGAAAACCCTTAATCTCTTCCTAAATGTCATTACAACATTCTCCAAGCCAACTTTTTGATAAGAATGCTGCCATCCAATGAGAAATTGTATTTTTAAAGAAAACAAAAACAAAAAATATGAAAACATACACGCTATACTGGGCTGTGCGAAGTGATTGGAGTTGACTTAACAATTTCAATGCAAGTACAAATCTGTTCTTATTGGCCACGTATATTGATAATGATAATGTTATATAAGGAAATAGATAATATTGTAGCAAGCATATTTGTAAGTACAATAATGTAATAATGTTCATCAATCATAGTATACTGAAAATCAGTTGACATTCACTCATTCAATGTTCAGTTCCAATTATTAATATATATCAAAATACTAATTTACTACTTGTTAATTCAGTTGCATTCAACAATTTGTATATGTAGCAAGACTTATCTCTTTTAATCTTTCTTTGTATTGTATACTTATTCTTTAACTACATATAAAATTATGTTAATACCTTTCTTGTCACTTTTGAATATTTAATTCATAAACTCCAACATGCTAAAACAACTATACAATTTTTCAATTTATAAACAAAAATCCTATTAAGTTCCATATAATAAACATGATTTAATGTAGGAATAAAGGCAAACAAATTTTTTTCATTTATTTCATGTAGAAGTTTTACTTCAATAAAGAGTATATACACGATATCATTCGTGATCAATATAATATTTTGCTGTATTAAATAATGATAGAAGGTTGTAATTAATACTTTTCGATATTAATATTTTATGCACATTATATAGTATCATTACAACACGAACATGGAAATTTATTAAATATATGTATGTTTCAAAATTTGGATATTTTTCTGATATTTTTAATTTCTGATCAAAAATAATCTACTTTCGTATAGTGCTTACAGTATGAATTTTTACTTTTTATTTCATGGGAATAAAACACATATGCAAAAAACAGTAATTCAAAATACTTTAATCTCAGAAACTGTAAAGGCTGCTTATACATACCTGAAAACCTGTTAGTATTTATAATGGCTAGTGTTCCTAAACATCTATTAAACAAAACGGTACTATCAATATACTGCATAATTTTCATTGTATATAATAAATGTGATAATTACCAAACGGGCTTGTATTCTATTTATATTTGATGAAAGCAACAACTGAATTATACAAGTAGTACACGACTAGTTCATCAAAGACATATGTGTAGTAAATGTTGTATAAAGTAGATAATTACAATATAGTTTTAATTAATGAAGGTAGAAGTGGCAATCCCTATTTGTATATGCATTCATTAACAAATATATGATAAATGAACAATACATACAATGAACAGTACATACAAAATATATTAGGATAATTATTCATAATTTTGGGCCTAAATTAAAATTACACTTTGTATTGTTTACAAAATTAGAAATTATTTGTTACAATTTGTTTTAATATTAATAAGATAAATATCTGATTTTAATGTTTTATAAAACAAAATTCTTTCGACAATATTGGTGCTGGATAATTTTAAACTTGATATATTCTTTCTTTTACTTGATGCATTAACATAATACTGAAACTTAATTATATATAGCAGTTATTTGTCAAATAATATAAAACTTCTTGTAATAAAATAAAATTTTAAACTTATGTTCAAGGAGTATTGAATATTAAGTAACAATTTTAATTAAAAAAAAAACCTATGTCATTTATATGAAAAAAATAAGTGTTCTTTCATTAATTTACAGTACTTGATACTTAAATTTTCCGTAAAAAAATTACTTTTAACATACTTAAAACAATTACTTTGCTGTTTTCGATGTATAAAATATGTACGTAACATTGACACATAAAGAGATTGCATTGAAATAATAAGATTAAAGCATTTAAATGCATAGGTATTTTTTAAATTACTGTATACAATTTTTTAAATATATTTCATTAGTAATGTATACTCTTTTATCAAATTAATTACGATTTAAACATCTTAAACTGTAAACAAACAATTATATTTTACTACGGAAATACTAGATCATAATTTTAAAAAACAGCGTAATGTCGTTTGATCATTATCTAAATTAAATTAAATTGATATAATTTATTTAAAATGTAAATGGAACAAACGCGTAATATTTTTCGTTTAAATAATTACAAAAGCATTAGATATGCATCTGTTGTCATGCATTTTCGCTGATATGTTTATGCCGTAGTATTCAAAATAGCTTTGTCAAATAGAAGCTCGAGCAGATTAAGAATAAATATAACAATTTAGCTTACATTTTACGTGTACTCTATATTAAGTACAGTGGTTCTCAAAAATATATATTCCATATATAATATAAATGAATTACATGCAATATTAATACTATATAAATATTAACCACTAAATAAAAGGTAAAATAAGAAAATGTTGAAAGTAAGTATAAATTTTTAATTGACTCATTGATAACTTATAAAATATAGTGATTATTAATTACAAAGTTATACAATTCAAATTAATATTTAACTTTGTTACTTTATATAATAAATTGAGAACCACTGTCCTTTAATATCGTAATAATTCTTTGCTAATGTGAATTCATATGACTTGCAATACAGAATATATTATAAAATGTAGCAAAGATTTAATTATTCCTTATTTTAAGTTTCTGTTTTATAAAATAAACATAGCAATACTCTTCAAAGAACCTTGAACATGTTTTTAAATAGTTCGATGAATTCTTATAGAAATTTAGTTGTTCATATTCATATAGTTGATACTTACACATGAAGTATATAAATGTTATTCTAATTCTACTATACAAAATTCGTATGATATAATATTTTACATATTGCATAAACACCAAAATTTTGAAATACTGAATATTAAAACAATGTCATATCAATGCTTAACAACATTTAATTATTATGTCATACATGTTCCTGGAAATAGTAAAAAAAATGAAGTTTAACTGTTTCTTTAGTCAAATGTAACAGTATTAATAATTCATAAATGATGAAAAATAATTAAAAACAAACGATAAAAATGCATGTAGTTTAATAAACATTTTAGAATTCAGATTAATTTTCTTAACAATGTTTCACAATATTTCAACTTGATACATATTGAAAAAGTCAATTTTAAGTAATAATTTGTCTTACAATGTTAACACAAAAAGTGTACAACTCTAGTCATCTAGTGCTATATTAAAATTAGATTATCAGAGATTTTAATTATTACTTTTTTCATTCTATAATATGATTGATGACATACAAATTCCGTTAAAAGATGATATGATTACACAAGCATGACAATAAGTGTTGTACTTAGATAGAATTAAATAACCATTTAGGTAAACATTTACTTTTAATGGGCAGAAATCTTAAATTTGCAAATTTTATAATTTACAAATAAAGTA